GTGAAAAAGTTTTTGTTTAAATGCACGCTATTGTGACACCAGTGAGTGAGTGGTGGCACTGGGCACAGTATCCACTGTGAGCCTGACACACCCGCTTTAAGACAACTAACTGCTATTCAAGCTATAACAGTGAAAAAAGTTTTTTGTTTTTAAATGCAAACTATTGTGACACCAGTGAGTGAGTGGTGGCACTGGGCACAGTATCCACTGTCAGCCTGACACACCCACTTTTTAGACAACTAACTGCTATTCAATCTATAACAGTGAAAAAAGTTTTTTGTTTTTAAATGCAAGCTATTATGACACCAGATATGAGTGGGACTGTGAACTGGCAGAGTACATACTGTAGGGCTGACACACCCGCTTTGAGACAACTAACTGCTATTCAATCTATAACAGTGAAAAAAGTTTTTTGTTTTTAAATGCAAGCTATTATGACACCAGATATGAGTGGCACTGTGAACTGGCAAAGGTTGGCAGAGTACACGCTGTAGGGCTGACACACCCGCTTTGAGACAACTAACTGCTATTCAATCTATAACAGTGAAAAAAGTTTTTTGTTTTTAAATGCAGCTATTGTGACACCAGATATGAGTGGCACTGTGAACTGGCAGAGTACACGCTGTAGGGCTGACACACCCGCTTTGAGACAACTAACTGCTATTCAATCTATAACAGTGAAAAAAGTTTTTTGTTTTTAAATGCACGCTATTGTGACACCAGTGAGTGAGTGGTGGCACAGGGCAAATGGCACAGTATCCACTGTGAGCCTGACACACCGCTTGCAGACAACTAACTGCTATTCAATCTATAACAGTGAAAAAAGTTTTTTGGTTTTAAATGCACGCTATTGTGACACCAGATATGAGTGGCACTGTGAACTGGCAGAGTACACGCTGTAGGGCTGACACACCCGCTTTGAGACAACTAACTGCTATTCAATCTATAACAGTGAAAAAAGTTTTTTGTTTTTAAATGCAAGCTATTATGACACCAGATATGAGTGGCACTGTGAACTGGCAGAGTACACGCTGTAGGGCTGACACACCTGCTTTGAGACAACTAACTGCTATTCAATCTATAACAGTGAAAAAAGTTTTTTGGTTTTTAAATGCACGCTATTGTGACACCAGATGAGAGTGGCATTGTGAACTGGCAGAGTACACGCTGTAGGGCTGACACACCCGCTTTGAGACAACTAACTGCTATTCAATCTATAACAGTGAAAAAAGTTTTTTGTTTTTAAATGCACGCTATTGTGACACCAGTGAGTGAGTGGTGGCACAGGGCAAATGAGCACAGTATACGCTGCGAGCCTGACACACAGATGCTTGCAGACAACTAACTGCTTTTCAATATATAACAGTGAAAAAAGTTTTTTGGTTTTGAAATGCACGCTATTGTGACACCAGATAAGAGTGGCACTGTGAACTGGCAGAGTACACGCTGTAGGGCAGACACACCCGCTTTGAGACAACTAACTGCTATTCAAGCTATAACAGTAAAAAAAGTTTTTTGTTTTTAAATGCAAGCTATTATGACACCAGATATGAGTGGCACTGTGAACTGGCAGAGTACACGCTGTAGGGCTGACACACCCGCTTTGAGACAACTAACTGCTATTCAATCTATAACAGTGAAAAAAGTTTTTTGTTTTTAAATGCAAACTATTGTGACACCAGTGAGTGAGTGGTGGCACTGGGCACAGTATCCACTGTCAGCCTGACACACCCGCTTTGAGACAACTAACTGCTATTCAATCTATATCAGTGAAAAAAGTTTTTTGTTTTTAAATGCAAGCTATTGTGACACCAGTGAGTGAGTGGTGGCACTGGGCACAGTATCCACTGTGAGCCTGACACACCCGCTTTAAGGACACTGACTGCTATTCAATCTATAACAGTAAAAAAAGTTTTTGGTTTTTTTAAATCCAAGCTATTGTGACACCAGATCTAATTAGTGGCACTGGTCAGCGTATCCACTGTTAGCGTAACACACCCGCTTTAAGGACACTGACTGCTATTCAATCTATAACAGTGAAAAAAGTTTTTTGTTTTTAAATGCAAGCTATTGTGACACCAGTAAGTGAGTGGTGGCACTGACTGGGCAAATGGGCACAGTATCCACTGTGAGCCTGACACAGAAGCTGGCAGCAGTGGCAGACAACTAACTGCAATTACATTACACAGAAAAAAAAAGCAGACTGATGTTCTAGCCCTAAAAAGGGCTTTTTGGGGTGCTGTCCTTACAGCAGAGATCAGATGAGTCCTTCAGGACTGTAGTGGACACTGTATACCCTAACCTAGCTATGCATTTCCCTATCTAATCAACAGCAGCTACACTTTCCCTCCTCTCACTAAGCATGCAGCTTGAGAATGAATGTAAAATGGATGCTGTCCAGTAGGTGGGAGGGTCTGCTAGGGAGGGTATGCTGCTAATTGGCTGGAATGTGTCTGCTGACTGTGAGGTACAGGGTCAAAGTTTACTCAATGATGACGAATAGGGGGCGGATCGAACCGCGCATATGTTCGCCGAGAACTATTCGCCAGCGAACCGTTCGGTGCATCACTATTCATTATATACACACACAAACACACACTGCATTCATTATATACACACACAAACACACTCTGCATTCATTCTATACACACACTGTAAATAAATATTCAATTAATGTAATTTTATTGGGATCTAATTTTATTTAGAAATTTACCAGTAGGTGCTGCATTTCCCACCCTAGGCTTATACTCGAGTCAATAAGTTTTCCCAGTTTTTTGTGGTAAAATTAGGGGCCTCGGCTTATATTCGGGTCGGCTTATACTCGAGTATATACGGTAGATAACGCCAGGCCCCAATAGCTTGAGATGGAGGCAAATAAGATTTTACTATTAAAGATTTATTATGGTTGCCTTCATCTCAACGCCCTAAGGCGGCAGACATGTTTCCCTCTACTAAATGAACCCTACAAATGTGAAACCTACCTAAAAAAAAAAAAATTCAACCTTCTGCCACATGGTCCAGAGCTACACCATTATCAGCAGTATGTTATGCTTTACCTGAATTGGATGTAGATTACTGGGCCTCCTATTCGATTGTCCATATTAATGATCTATTTTCTTCCAATGGCCTTCTGCCTTTCGATCAATTGAAAGATATATTTCATTTAAGTTTACTTGATGCCCCAACACATGAGAGACTTGTGACAACAATTAGAGAACATTTTGCTCTTTCAGATCCGGATCTGAACGTGTTGAAATTGGATATGACAAAATTAGAAAAGTCTATTAATTAGATCCTGGTCGGAAACAAAGCATCTCCTTGTGTTACAAAATTTTTGCAGGTGACATGTGTGGTAAAACTAATTACATGTTGAGGTGGGAGAGTGAGCTGGGTGGGATATACACAGTAGAGGATTGGAATTAATTTTTATTATCGTTAAAAGGTATCACTCAATGTGCAAACCATTTGGAATCCCATTACAAATTAATTTATAGATGGTACCTAACCCTTTTGAAACTAACATGCGCCTTGGCAAAAATAATAAATGTTGGAGAGACTGTGGTCAAATTGGTACATTATTCCACATCTTCTATTCATGTCCTAAAATGAAAACTTATTGGCTGATAATTCTCAAATTAATTACATATTAGAATTTGATATATTAGCCCCAGGGTCTTTGTCTCTTTAAGAAAATTCCATCTAACCTGCCTAGATACAAAAAAAAATTATACTAGCCCATCTTCTCATATCAGCCAATTCCATCATCTCGTCATTGGAAGTCACTCACTGTACCAAATGTGGGTGAGGTCTTAAAAATAAAAAAGGTGTGAATTGGCTTTTCGTGATCCGTTTTCGTTCACAGATATATTGCAACATGAATGGTCAATGTGGGAAAATGTGAAAGATAATTTATGACTTTAACAATGTTCCCACCTGACTCAATACATATTCCTGATATTTATTTTTGTACCATGTTCTTAATTACTTGACACTTTATTTCTGTACATAGTTTACCTTTTTCATGTACAAGTATTTATTTGCATTTTATTGGATTTCTTGTTTAGTTTTGACAATGGTTCATAAGTCGTTATACATGCCAATGTTGTAGGATATATTATATTATTTTAAAACATTAATAAAAATATTTGACATAAAGTAAAAATGAGGCACAGACATAGCATCACTTCAATAGATCTGTTCTTGGTCATGGAAATGTCTGTTGTCATTTACAGATTTTTAATTAAAAAAAATATTAACTTTACAAAAAAAAAAAAATCTGTTCATTATTCTATTTAAAAGTTAAACATTACAAATTAGAGGCATCCCATTCACATCAACTGTTAATCATTACAAGTGATAGAAATATATTATGCAATCACAGAAAATAAACTAGTTAATGGAACACTAATGTTAGGAATACAAATCTGTATTCCCAATGTTATAGCTTTCCTATCCATAGTGGTATTAGGTCTCTCCACCATTCTGCAAAGAAAGGGTTAAAACTTTGTCAGTTTACAGGAAACACCTCTAGTGGCCATCATACAAACATGCACCAGAGGTGCACTTAACTCTGCAATGTAAACATTGCAGTTTCTCTAAAACAGCAGTGTTCTACATTGCAAGATTAAGAGGTCAGGATCACTGCACCCAGACCACTTCATGGAGATTAAGTGGTCTGGGTGATTATTGTGGTTCCTTTAAAACTTGCTCTAATATGTGTCTTCACACGTGATTGAACAGTATATATTTGTTTGTAAATAAAAAATTCTTGTAAGGACTTTGTTTTATATCAATGATGTTGAAGCATCAGTGACAACTCTTAGCATGTGAAGCATTCAGGATTAGCAGGGAATTTGTGGTGACTTCAAGTCATTAACAAAGCTCTTGAAAAGCTTGATCACAGTGAAAGGGACTAGGTTGGGAACCATACCACCTTAAATCGCAATGCTGTTATGGTGCCATTAGGTCCCTGGCTTACCTTTAGGGGTTAACTGGCTTGAAAAGGAACTTACCTTTTTCCAAGCTGGCTTTATGAATGGGGAGTAGCTGATTGAATGACAGCGTTTGCTGCAAGAGACTTTGGGTTTATGGATTTGAGCAAACGTTAAGGACAGAGGGGCAGGGAGATCTAGCTCTAGCACACAGACTAAAGGGGATACATCGTCTGGGAACTCCTGACACCATAACAACTTAATTTCAATGATGGTTATTATGGTGCCATAGTGATTCTTGAACTGCATTAAACATAACATATGCGACACCTTTTATTACCAGTTAAGTTTACTTACTGCAAAGCGTAAAAGGAGTCTTAACTCTGTTGTACGTTTATTAAGCAAATGTATTCCTAGTAACCATTTATAAACCTTAGATTTCCCCTCAACACAAAATGTACTTTAATAAGGTATTGTAGGCATCATCTTTAGAACCAACTTGACACACTGTAGTTTATTTTACTGGAAAATACCAATTGGCAGTGAAACCTTGCAGTAACATGATCTGGAACATCAATTCTTCCGGCCTAGACCATAACACATTGCCCCAAGTCACAAATGGATCAAAACGAATTCCAAGTAATCAAAGTCGAACAAACACCATTTTAATTAATATACATTCACAAAAGTACCCTTATAGGATAAATGTCGTGCAACAATGCAGAATACTGTTCGGGGTAGGGGTAGGGTTGGATTGAGCTATGGTACATAAAAGGTGGATAGAAAATTTTGAATGAGTTATTTGGTTATTTATCCATATTACTTTGATCTGCAAGATGCAAACTAATGTCTTGGTACTCAAACTTTGATAATAGTAGGTGTGATCATCTTATTGAAAGAGTAGTATCTACAATCCTCTGGGGGTATTAAGTCCATCACAGTACTACTAATATTCTCACGTTTGAAGCCAGCCTCCTCCAGTTGAGGTATTTGTGTCTCCTATTATATTAAAAAAAAACACAACACATTTCACAATGAGCAAGTCAGGTACATTTTTCAGAGAGAAAATATAGCATAAAATTTAAGCAAATTTGGACAAAGTGAAAGATGAAAACAGTGGAAGTCCATAATTAGATAATCTTACTTTAAGGATCAGTAGATGATCAGTAATCTTGCTCAGCATCTGATAGTCATGTGACATTAACCCATTCTGGAGTATGTATGTGCAGTGTTTCTGCTCCAATTATTTTTAATTGTGTGCCAGGGCTAGTTGCACCACTGGCACAATTCTGCACATATTTTGCTTCATAAATGAGCTAGCGACAGTGGTGAAACTCTTCTCCCTTGCAGACAGAGTGCCTGCATGCATTTGCTTTGAGTCGGCAAAATGATCCAATCACTGGTTTATCTATGAGAACAATGTAATTGGACCTAAAGAGGCTGCCCTGATGGTACAAAGGCCGCACTTTGACAGACGCATACACTCACTGACCGACACACACTCATACACTGACAAACAATGACATACACACACTATTACTTGGACACACACTGACAGATGCATGCACTCAGGTAAGTATTCTCCCTCGCTGCCCGCTACCTGCCGCCCGGGGGCTCAAAAGTGGACAGCCAGCTCTTGAGCCCCCCAGGACACGAGGCAAGCAAGGGATCTGCCTAGGTGTTTGGGGTGGCTTTTTTTTGCCGCCCAAGGAAGATGCCTTGTTTGCCTCGCGGAAGACACGTCCCTGTATATAATGACACAAAGAGTGGGGTTAACGTGCACAGCAGGGCACTATGAGCTGAATTATACTTTATTTAACAGGGTTATGGTAAACTGTTTAAGTGTAAATTACCATGCAGCACATTAAAGATCACAAAGCATATAGCAGAAAGTTTTATTCCATTAAAGGGACACTATAGTCACCAGAACAACTACAGCTTATTGAATTTGTTCTTGTGAGTAGAATCATTACCTTCAGGCTTTTTGCTGTAAACACTGTTTGTTTCAGAGAAAATGCAGTGTTTACATTACAGCCTAGTGATAACTTCACTGGCCACTCCTTAGATGGCTGTTAGAGATCTTTCCTGGGTCACTGCTGCCTAAAATGCATCCAAACATTCAGTGTCTCCTCCCTCTGCATGCAAACACTAAACTTTCCGCATAGAGATTCATTGATTCAATTCATCTCTATGAGGAGATGCTGATTGGCCATGGCTGTGTTTGAATTGTGCTGGCTCTGCCCCTGATCTGACTCTTTGTCAGTCTCAGCTAATCCTATGGGGAAGTATTGTGATTGGATCAGGCTACCACTTTTGATGATGTCAGCAGGCAGTGGGCAGGTCTAAAGAAATAGGGACAAAGTAAGAAGCTGCAGACTTGAATACAAGTAAAATTTTATTATATTTATGGAGGCATGAAGGGACCAGGGTGGCTAGATGTTGGTCTTAACCCTATAGGGTCAGGAATACATGTTTGTGTTCCTGACCCTATAGTGCTCCTTTAATCATCAATGCCTTTTCTCTGTTAAGCACTTTAGAAGAAAGAAAATAATAAATTGTTTAAACAGGTTAAATAGCTAAAACAAAAACAATGCTAGACTGCACATTCAAGACAACCAAAAAGAAAAATCTAGTATTTCTGTGTTTAACTCTTGTCTATTCATTGTAGAAATACGGAGTATCATGTATTATCAATTATAATGTAGTGTTTAGCATCCATTCTTCTGATAGAGAATTAATATTACAGCATTTATTTGCTACTTTCCATTTCCTGCCTTGAATAGATGGCACGATAAGTCACTTTGAGGTTTGTATTATTTATTTTTTTTAAGTCTTATTTACACTAATTGGTTGATGTTACACTAATTGTGTTTTGTAACACTAATTGTTCCGTGTATTTATATGCTATGAGAGTCTTGTGGTGGTTGCTTGACGAAGACCTTGGTTTCCCTATTGTATTTGTTTCTCCAAACCTAAGTGCCTGAAGCTATTCTACTCTATTATGTACTAAAAGGATTTGCTGGTCCTGCTTCAGTCTGGACCCTGTGGTAACTGGGAATGGAGTGCAGTCCCTTCCTCTTTTGTGGCTAGCAGCGTAGGATTTGAAGAAGTTGTAGGATTTGAAGAAAGCATTTCAGACATAAAAATCTCACCTGGAACATTTTTTCTATATCAGAATACTTGGCTTTCAGCAGTTCACCCCAAGAAGTCAGGTTACAGTATGTGAGAACTCCACCTGGCTTGAGCAACCGTTGAGCATGGCCCTGAAACATATATACAGAGTGACTTTCATTTCTAATACCAGGATAGTACTGAACAGAAAAGTAATTACATCATAAAAAAAAAAAAAAATTGAAAATTGTAAACGCTTAAAGCTTTTTTTTTTACAAATTGTATTCATTCTAATATGAAATGGTGTAAGTTTATGCACACAACACACATGCAATATATCCTTATCCTTTTTAGTTTAAGTAAACACAAATGGAAGAATATAATAAATACAGTGTAGAGTAGCCTGGATGGAACATTAAAGTGAAACTATTCACTATAACCATTTCATCTCTTTGAATTGGTTATAGTATTTGGAGTCCCTGGGCACTGTACTTCCATTCAGTGCTAAAAAAAATTCAAAGCAGTTTAACACTAAATAAGGATCTTTTGCCCAACCATAGCCCAGTCCCTACTGGGTATGTAGCAAAGACAGATTGAACACTTGTAGTCATACCAGCAATGGGCGCTCTGATAGGCTAAAAGCGGTCAGCTGCCACTCTGGCAATCACAACTGCCTCAATAGCCCAAGCAGCACTTAGGGGATAGGTTGATGGGACTCTTGTTTAGCATTAAAACATGAATAACCATTTAACGTTGAATTAATATGTCTGCTATAAAAATTATCTGAGTATCAACTCACTGATAACATCACTTGATATTATTTGGAAGCCCACAAATTCAAACCTTTTCTCTGAAAAGGCAGTGCTTACATTAAAAAGAATGCATTGACATTAAGCTGTAGTGGTTCTGGTGACTAAAGTGTCCCTTTAATGCATTTGATTAGTTTTAGCCTCATTAACATTTTTTTTTTGTTTGTTTTTACACAAAATAAAGGTTTAGTAGAATGCTGCAACATAAGCCTGCCTCCTTAGCTATGCCTCCTCATGCCAGAAAAAAATTTACTTATCAAAAAGGAATGCACACAGCTCAGCACTGAATGATCTGAACAAGACAGCCTGCTTTGGAAGGAGAGGACATCCAGGGGGCATATAGTAAGGATATCACTACCTGTTGTCAGTGTCTAACAGTCTCCATCCAAGTTGTGAATTTAAAACAGCTCATTCAGTGCTTTTGGGGCAGAGACTTTGTGCATACCTTTGATAAGGAAGTCTTTCTGGCATGAGGGGTCATAGCTAAAAAGGCAGAACAAGGCAAAACCTTTATTTTGAGCATAAACTATACAGATTTGAGCATGCAAAAATACAGCATATTAGTGAGGCCAAAATTGATCTAATGCATTAAGTTTGTATTGGAGCCCGAAGTGTCCCTTTAAGTCACAATGAGCATGTTGGTTTAGGCCTCCCAACCGTCCCAATTATAGCAGGACAGTCCCAAGGTTAGGATCCTGACTTTTTCCCTGGTATCCGGCTTTTCAGGTATATGGAACACCAGGAACGGTCTCCTTAGAGTGTAGTGTGATCATGTGAATAGATGCCCTTGAGCTATATTCAGGTTTCTAGGATCCCTCTGAGAACGCCCAAACTGTGCTCTCTGACTGGCCCTCCCTTGGTTGACCAGCATGCTTAACTGGCAAGTAGTTGGGCATGCATACACAGGTTGTCCTGCTAATTCTAGGGCAGACACGCACACCGCCGTTGAGATATGCCAGTGACGTTATTCAGGTCACTGGCCCTCTCCCTCTCTTAACCTGCCCACACAGGATGCCGATGTTTGGGTCTATGTTAGTTTGAGCAATGTATGTGTTGTGTTTTAAAAACCTTGATGAAATTGAACTGGTGGGTGTGCCATGTTTCCTCCGACAAGGGGTAAGTGTCATACAGGATCCCTGAAAGTAAAAAGCACATGGTATACTGAATAATAAGAAAACATGACAGCAGCAGATTCAAAGAACAGAAAAACATAAGCCTCTCACCATCAAAGTGGCCATCCGGAAGTGTTGGTACCACATCCTCCCATAGTCCCTTTAAGGGCACAATCTGTAAAGAAATAATAAAGTTATATTAAGCAACACCGAGCTACATTTCACTCACTGAACATTTGCCCATTTCTCAAAACGGATACCCTCAAACGTATGGCAAGTCAACTCCAAGACCATTTCCTGGTATAAAAGTACAGAATATTATTTGTTTAAAAATAGGTTTGTCCTTGAAAAGATGCAATACTCCATTAAATTTATATATAATATATATATATATATATATATATATATATATATATATATATATATATAATATATATATATATAATATATATATATATAATATATATATATATAATATATATATATATATATATATATATATATATATATATATATATATATATATATATATATATATATATATACACACACACATACACACACACATACATATATACACATACATATATACATATATATACATACATATACACATACACACACACATACAAAGTTCATTTTTCCACAATTACCTCTGTTGCTGCTATTAAAGGGCTATCTGAGCAAATATTTATAAAAATGCATCAATTGGAAGAATTTTTTGCCATTACTGCAGATAGATGTGCTTTTATTGTACTTTGCCCCTTTTCAAGTGTAAAATCCCTAGGTTCATAGAAACCTATCTTTCAGGATTAATCTTTCACTCAATTTTATATATGGAGCAGTGTACACATATAGATAACTAATTTCATGATTTCTCCAAGATATTTAAGATGCTTTCCAGACTCTAATGCACGTGTATTCTGGTGTTTATGTTGATGGGGAAAGTTCTGCTACACACTCTATGTAATCCATATTTACCAATCAAGCCAGAAGACTCTTTTCCCACAGAAATCTCACTTTAACAGTGCTCTCACTACTGCAAGGGATTCTGGGTAGGTGTATGCAAATGAGCCCAACAAAGAACCACCTTTTTCCCTCATAATTCCACTTTATAGATTGATTCCTTGGAGTATGTGTCTGCTGTATAGAACAGCTTTGAAACACAACTTAGGAAAAGATGCAAAGCCAGTAAACCACTCATGGTTCACCGTTTCTTTGTTAATGCAAATCAATAGCATGAGGTTGGTTACTGGCTTGCTATTGAGGTTTCGCGTTACATACCAAAAGAGTTGTGGTTGGGAAAAAAAGTGTGGATGAAAACCCCTTCCATCTTCATCCACACTTTTTCCCCCCACCACAACTCTTTTGGTATGTACTTTACAAGTAACGCCAAGCCTCAATAGCAAGCCAGTAACCAACCTCATGCTGAAGAGTTTCATTAACAAAAAAAAAAACAGCTGTCCATGAGTGGTTCACTGGCTTTGCTCCTCTTCCTGAGATGTGTTTCAAAGCTGTTGTATACAGCAGATGCATACTCCAAGGAATCCATCTATAAAGTGGAATTACGAGGCAAAAATGTGGTTCTTTGTTGAACTCATTTGTATACGTCTACACAGAATCCCATGCAGTAGTGAGAGCACTGTTAAAGTGAGATTTCTGTGGCTTGACTGGAGAGAGAGGAGAGGGAGAGAGAGGAGGAGAGAGGGGAGAGAGAGGGAGAGGGAGAGGGAGAGGGGGAGAGAAGGGGGGAGAGGGGAGAGAGGGAGGAGAGAGGGAGGAGAGGGAGAGAGAGGGGAGAGGGAGAGAGAGAGGGGAGAGAGAGGGGAGAGAGAGGGGAGAGAGAGGGGGAGATTTTTTTTCCCCTCTTGTTTTTTTCATTACTACTTGACTGACATATCATGCTTCACCTTATGCGGTTGCTTCTTTGCCCACTCCTGTAGCCGCTGAAATACGCCATCATTACACTCAATAATCCAATGCTCCTCTATGTTATATTCCTCCAATTTAGTGGCTGCAATAGCCATGCCAAAGCCAATCTCCAAAACCCGTCCTCCTAGAAGGGAAACAAAGGCAATGGGTTTAGATGAATGTTGGTCAGGTAAGAATATGGCTCAGAATTTGTAAATGTAGAGAACTGACACAGTAATATGAAGTTATCTTCTTTAACAATTTTTTTTTTTCTTCAAGTTCTGCGGTTTTGGTAGAAAGAAATAGTACTAGAGTTAGATTGTTTCAGAATACTAAATAAAAACACAGAATAAGATTGCAAGAAAGCACAGAATGTGCAGAGTGCTTTGATTAAATCTAAGCTAAATGGAGTAAAGGGTGTCATGAGAACATTTCAGGTTTATTCAGTGAATTTTGAATTATCAAGAATTGTTTATTTTGGGAGCATTCAAGAGTATGAGATAGATAGATAGCGCGAGCAAGCTTAAATCTAAGTAATGCAGGAGTATTGAAAAATAAATATATAAGCCCTTAAAGGACCACTATAGTGCCAGGAAAACAAACTTTTTCCTGGTACTATAGGGTCTTTCGGTCCCCCTCACCCTCAGGGTCCCACTCCCGCAGGGGTTAAGGGGGAGGAGGGGTTAAAACACTTGCCTTTCTCCAGCGCCAGGCTCCCTCGGCGCTGGGGAACTCTCCTCCCTCTGCCGACGTCAGCTCCGAATGCACATGCGTGCGCATTCAAACAGTCCATAGGAAAGCATTTCTTAATGCTTTCCTATGGACGTCCAGCGTCTTCTCACTGTGTTTCACAGTGAGAAGCGCCTCAAGCGGCTGTCAGTGAGAAAGCCACTAGAGGCTGGATTAACCCTAGTGTAAACATAGCAGTTTCTCTGAAACTGCTATGTTTACAGCTGCAGGGTTAACACTAGAGGGACCTGGCACCCAGACCACTTCATTGAGCTGAAGTGGTCTGGGTGCCTATAGTGGTCCTTTAAGATGTGTGTTTATATGCAGAGAAACTGCAATATTTACATTGCAGCACTAAGTCTGCCTCCAGTGGCTGGCATTTGCAGCGCATGTGCATTAGCACCCACTCATCCAAGAACGTCAGAGGCGGAGCCACAACCCAGTGCCGAGGGATAAGGTAAATAATAATGGGTTTTCAAATCTTTATTCACAAGCTTGAAGAGACAAGGGAGGGAGGAGGCAGATGGAGCTATAGTGACAGGAATACAGCTTTGTATTCCTGGCACTTATAGTATCCTTTTAAGTACTTTAATTTAGAAGTTTTGGATGGAGTGATCAGTCTGGGTAAAATGATGCCCAACAAGGGTACAATATTGGTTTGCCCTGTAGTTCTTGATGTAGTGTGTGTCGGTTCATTCTGAGATGCAGTTTAAGTCCAGTTTCTCCACTGCTGCAACCTTTGTCACAGCTTTACACTCTATCATATATATCAGCCATGTCAAACTTACGTGTAAGCTCTCTTGGTTCAGTACTACCATTTTACTTATATTTGTGCAATTTATATATACAGCTGTATATGTGCTTGCCTTTCTTTGCTGGTTCTCTTTCTGTATATATGCTTGCCTTTCTCTGCTGAGTCCTCTATTTATTTACTGGTTCTGGCTTCTCTCAAACACTCTGCACCTTTTACTCTATCACATCTTCTGCTATTTACGACACCCCACTTACCCCCTCCCTTCTCTAACAACATTAGCGTTTTAAGTGTTAAACTATCATATTGGTCAGTATTGCTTCAGACATGAAGAATCTTGTCTTATAAGTATTAGGATAGTAAAATAAAAAAATATATATATATATATATATATATATATATATATATATATATATATATATATATATATATATATATATATATATATATATATATATACACACACACACACACATATACAGGGGTCAAGTCCTGGGTAAAATAAAGTGTTGGAACTCACCCAAGATCCATGCCGTCCTACCCCCTCCCCCCCCCCGAAAAAAAAATTAATTATATGCTCGTATGCAAGGGGGACAGGGGCTGAGGAAGAGGGACATAGGGGAACAGGGCCTGAAGAAGGGGGGGAAAAAAACCAAAAAACCTGAAGTGCATTCCCCCTCCCTGAGGCTTACCTTAGGCCAGGAGGGGTGGGACAGAATCTGGACCACAGAAACAGAAGCCGTGCGGTATGAAGGAGGACCAACTGTTCCAGAGGGGGCCAGGCTAGGAGAGAGTGTGAGCTTAACTCCCAGTCACCCCACTGGACCCCAGGGAAGCCACCCTCCAGGAAAAGGTAAGAAACTGGAGGGTGGTTATCAACTTTTGCATGAGTGTCTGGCTGTGTGTGTCAATATGTCTGTATGTGTGTATGTCTGTATGTGTGTCTCAGTATGTCTGTCAGGGTATCTCTGTCTCTGTGTGTGTGTCACTGTCTGTGTGGTTAAATATAAAGTAGTAAGGAAGAGTGGAGCAGTATATTATATGAAGTGGCTGTTTAGATGATAAGCCCTTCTAACAAGCTATTAACATAGCAGGGGATAAGAAAATCTTAAACAGAACTTGCAATAAAGAAAGCCTAACTAGGGCTCTCTTTACAGGAAGAGTTTATGGAAGGCTGTGCAAGTCACATGCAGGGAGGTGTGACTAGGGTTCATAAACAAAGGGATTTAACTCCGAAATGGCAGAGGATTGAGCAGTGAGGCTGCAGGGGCATGTTCTATACACCAAAACTGCTTCATTAAGCTAAGGTTGTTCAGGTGACTATAGTGTCCCTTTAAGGAAATATATAGATCAATTAGGTGAGGTTAATATGATATACAAAAGATTTAAATCACAACAAATATATTTGCATAGTTAAAAGAACGTACACTGTACACTAGAAAACTGACTCTTACAGGAGAGAGTGGTGAGTTTGGTATGGCATACGCCGCTACTCACTGCCCGGCTTAATCAGATGAGGTAGCTGGAGACTCTGGCTTCATGGAGTGATGTGGAAGTGAACGTTCTACTTCAAAAACTGTTAATCAGCGTGGTTCTTGGAGCTGCTGCAGTCTCCACCCCCTTAGTGACACACCCCTACATTCACACAAACAAACATACTCCATACAAAACATGCTTACATTCAAACACACAATCACTGCTCATTGCTAAATACAACCTTGCAAGCATGGGACAATGATGGATCCCCAGCTGTCAAAGCCTTGTTGACATTGTATGACAGATGGGGATCTACCGTATGGCCACCCCTGCAATAGCGGGGCCCAAAATAAGCATTGCACCAGTACCCTTTCTAGTTTAGTTCCGCCACTACATTGTGTTGCGGTGGAGGGCGTGACTGCATGCCGTGGGGTGGTGGGCCCCAAGTAAATGCTTGCCCAGGGTCCAATCAGTAGTAAAGACGGCCCCGTGCAGGACTAGTAACAGAAACGGCGTTCCTGCTGTGGAAAAAGTGCAGGAATGCCGTTCCCACTCGAGCCCTGTTTTTTTTTTTTTTATATATATATATATATATATCTCTATCTATCTCGATCATTGCATAATGCAATACTCTGGTATTTTGGTGTATATATAAACCAAGCTTTGAAATTTTCAGAAAAGAGTAACAGCTTTTCAGGTATTATACTTGCTCAGCATGGAAAGAGATAAACTCGGCCATTTGGATAAATTATATTTAAGGCTTCTCTAATCATTAACAGAAATGACAACCAATGAACAGGCTGCAGCCTTTACAAATTTGGGCCTAATGTAGAGTTAGGGAGTGCAACGTTTGACATATGTAATACATTTTACATTATATTTATAAAATATTTTACCAGGAAGGATACATTGAGATTTGTCTCGTTTTCTGGAACCAGATTCATTTATATTTATTTTTTAGATAAAAGGTTTCAATTAGTAAATGCCATTTAACTTTCTACTACAGACATGAGTTTAACCTAAAAAAAGCACAGGGTGTCTGTGTCCCCCTCCCCCTGCAAGCACAGCTGTCACCAAATGAGATCCAAACAGCTCGAGGCTATTCGGAGACACATTTTCCTAGGAACCCATTACACACCCTTGACATGACAAGGAACACAGGGTTCCATCTTCAGAATCTAGCACCCCCACCTTGTATTATCTTTATAGTATTAGGGCAATTGATAGTTGCAGCCATAGTAACTAAAGAAACCTAGCTAATAAATTACCCATATACTTTCAATGACTTGTAGTGCTATAAAGTTGTGTGCGTTTAATATTATAAAAGTATAATTATACCTTTGCTTGCTGCCACTGAAGCCAGACTGTGCATGTATGGGGTCTCCCACCTTTCCATCACCGGCTTCCCCAAAATCTCCAAGTGTGTGTCTGTGTCATCGTAACCCGCTGTAGCTTTGTGCCAGGCCGACTTGCAGACCTCTCCCTCAGCGAAGATCTTGTCGGAAGACATTTGGAAGCGGTCAGCAGGTACCAGAGTAAGCAGTAGGCAGGGGAAGAGTCCACAGAAAGGGTCACACTTCTCCGGGAGCAGAAATATAACGTTTAGGACAAGGGGCGGGGACTATATTCTTAGAAAGGGTCGAAGGAAAAGGCAGTGGGCGTTGTTAGAAGTCTCATGACTACCACTCTGGTTCATTCATCAGAACGTAATCCCTCCCCTTACCTGGTATTTGATCATTCCCCACTGCCTGAGGTACCCAGCCCACACTAGTCTACCTATCATCACCTACTCGAATACCTCCTGACGAGTGTGACACATTTGTTGTGTGGGCACGGTTAGTATGGTAAAAGGCGGAGCTATGTAAATAATTAGCTTTGATTGCAGAAACGGTGAGTTTGGGTTTAATGAAGTGAGGGGGCAAGGTCCACAGATAATCCAAAATCAGTGGCAAAGAGCATTGGTCCACAAGTTTAACTTGTGCTTGAGAAAGTAGCAGTTTGTACCATAATGAGGATATATCTTTCTGCCAAGATATGATCAGCCAAATATTATTTACAATAATATTATTTACAATAGTATTTGAATTTGCATCAACTTTTGTGGGGTGGGGTGGGCTGGGGGGGTAACATGCTGATGAGACACAGCAATCAAAACTGCACTTGTCCCTCATTCTTTTGCTACAACTGAAACAGTCTCCCAACGATTATTAATGATTTTTTGGTCTTGTCCCACTTTGTGTCTCGCATCTGGGGACTCGAGGGAAGTGTCCTTGGGCTGTGCATGACAGGTGCATAGTCGCCATATGGCAGGTGGAATTACCCCCCAAACTTACACGCAATAACACACTGACACTAATGTATGGGTCAATATGTCCTCAGCTTTATTAATGTTGATAACAATAAAATTAAAGTCATTGCCCAGCCTCCATCCCACCATATAACATTATATGTCCCCTAAACAAAAGGCAATGACCCATATTTTTCTATAAATATAAATAACAATAACAAACATCATAAACCTAAACTTTGTTAAATATACACGTTAGGGGTATACCCGGATACCCCTACAACCCACCAGGTTCCGAGCCACCACCGAGCTCGAAACCTACTAAATTCATAATGAACCATTTAACCAAACCAAACCAGCAGCATAACTGGCCTATTCTATTTAAACTAACCCAGAGCCGGTTTGTCCCCTAACTTTTTTCTCTCTAGCCCCACCACAGGCTTGACCCCTTAACCTAAACGTTAACCTTGACGCCTTAAGCCGTGCTCCGTCACCCCTAAGGAACAAGGTCCTACTCAACTCTTCTTGGAACCCCAGATTCAAGAGATCCCACCCCACGTCCGTGAGGTGGACCCCGTCCTACCGAAAATACCCAGGCAACCTATCCTCGAGTTCCCTGTACAGAATTACCACCCTCCTGACCTTCCTAACGAACATGGCCATCCGGCTATTCAACTTATCCCGGCAAGGCTCGATAGCGGCCATATCCCTGGCGGGGACCAGTCTACCAAATCCCCAGGGACCAAGTCCCGTAGCCAGTTAATATCCTTCTTCATCCATTTCACCAAGCATCTTTGTGACACTAGGCCTAAATCATTGCCCCCTGCATGTAACAAAAGGAAATCAGGAGACCTTCCACTAGCCAAAACACTGCCCCAATAACATCTCCCGAACTAGCTCCCCGATAACCGAACCACTTAATCGAGATCTGGTCCACAGGAAAGCCCAGCTGCGGACCCTGGAAACAAGCTGCAGCCCTCCTCTTTGCCCAAAACACAAATAAATGGTCCATGATCCAAGCAACTTGAGCTGCGGAAACAAAACAAGACAATCAGCCTAGGGGAACCAGCGGAAAATCCTCCAAACCCACTACTTCAATCACACCAGCATCCCCAGCCGCACATAACCGAACCGATTCCCACCTCCCTATTTTCTTCACCAGCTCTTTGCCGAGCCCCAGACGCATGGCCTCCGTAGCTGCCCCCATCCGGAAGGAGTGCGTACCGAATTGGTCCGGCCTAAGACCCAACCGCCGAAGCCCCAAGCATAAAACCCAGGCAAACTGGAAGCGTGACAGCGCCAAACCATCCTCATGCAAGAAAAAAAGCGCCCTCACCCACTGGACGCAACGCTCCATACCGTGCAAGAATAGTAACCGGGCACAACTATGATCAGGGGAGCGCATGCAACACCACATCTGTCCCCTTTCCCCGCACATCCGTTTTCGGCCTAGATAAGTGAATCACTACCCTATCTACCCCCGTTAGGACATCAGCTGCCTGAATGCCGCTAAGACCTCACCTGTTTGCGCTGACAAGCTCCCCAAAAGAAAAGCCCCTAAAAGGCCAAAACAAACGCAGCTGCAAACAAGCCAGCTTTGTAGCCAGAGAAGCAAATATCAGGCAGCACCCGCTCTAGGCTCCCCAAAACACTGATAGACACCGGCCGCCGCGCATCTGGAATCCTACGCCCCTTCTGGAAACCTTTTAAAGCCTGACAACCCCTTCTGGAAACCTTTCAAAGCCTGACAGATCACAAAGTGCTTCGTCAATTCCCCGCAACCGAGCAACATAAACCAAAACGCGAGCGCGGCCATATTCCTATCTAATACCACAGGGGACGCACCCCCGGCCAGTAGCTCAAACGTAAACCATAATAGAGCATCAAGACGTGCCCCCGCAAGCCTCCAGCTCCAGTCCGGCCCATGAGGCCTCCCATGACTCCCAAACCTTACAGTATGCTATCCACATGCCAGGAGCCAAGGAAACCATCATAAGTTCCCCAAGCAGGCCGTTCCGAGCCGCCACATCTCGTCCGGGCAATCTTCCCCCACCTCCAGCGCTCCGGGTGCCACCATCCGGAACCGGGACCACTGAAAGCGAGACAAAGCATCAGCCACGATATTCAAGTAACCAGGGACAACCACATTGAGGGACATACACGAAAGGACAAATTTACGCAAAAGCAGCACCACCGGAGCAGACATGCCGATAACTGATTAACCACGTGTGTGGAAAACAATTTTTCTATCCCTCAGCATGTTACCCTAAAGCGACGGTGCCACTAGTACTGGAAACAGCTTGAGAAAAGCCAAGTTACGCATCAAGGCGCTCGCCGCCCATGCCGTCGGCCAAGGCGACGCACACCATCATCCCCCAAAGCCAATGCTACTAGAAGTATCTGTGAACAGTTCCAGATCCTCAGCCACAACCACTGCTTGCCTGAAAATCACCATCCCGTTAAACCCCCACAGGAACACATCTCAGACCTTTAGGTCAGCCTACATAGCGGAGGTAACCCTAACAAAGTCATGAGGTGAACGGATTCCGACCGTGGCCCTGACCAGACTCCTACTGAAAAAAATTCAACTTCCCCATGAGCGATTGTAGCTGTCGCAGCGTTACCTTACAATGCACCTCTGCCACCACAGCCCGCAACCCCAGCAGCTTATCCTGAGGAAGACGATATTCCCCTTTGCGAGAGTCTATCTCAATGCCCAGGAAACTCAGGCTGTTGGTCGGACCTTCTGTTTTGGATACCGCAAGAGGTACCCCAAACTTATCTGACACCCATTCAGTGGTCTGCAGCAGGTGAAAACAGCACTGAGAGTCAGCAGGCCCCATACACAAGAAATTATCCAAATAGTGGACCACTGACTGACACTCCGCCTCCGTCTTCACCACCCACTCCAAGAATGTGCTTAGTTTCTCAAAGTACGCGCACGAAATTGAGCAACCCATCAGGAGACATAAGTCGATGAAATATGAACCATCGAAGGCGCAACCAAAAAGGTGGTGGCAGTCCGGGTGCACTGGCAGGAGACGTCCACCTTTGCCATGAGGGCCCCAGGACCAGCCTTCCTAACCAACTCAACCGCCTGGTCAAATGTGCATAAGAGACTGAGCACAGGTCCCAGTCAATGTCATTCACAGATGCCTCTTTAGGATAAGAGAGGTGGTGAATCATTCAGAACTTCCCAGTTCTTACTTGGGGATGACCCCCAGTGGAGAAAACCGCAGATTGGGCAAGGGTAGGGACGTAAACAGATCCGCCATCCTACCCAGCTGCATTTTCTTACACAGCTTCTCCCGCACCACATTTGGGAATTCAAAGACCGATTTTAAGTTACGCACACTTCCTGACCCCCCCCCCCCCGTCAAAGCCCGCATGCAACAACGCCACATTTGACTTGTTACCGCAGTGGCTTAGCAATGGTAACATCACTTCGAGCTTCACTGGCGTTGATCACTGCGACAACGGGAACTGCCCTACTGGAACACGCTCCAGAAGAACCCTGTTTAAAACATCTGTTGAGGCCATGATTACCCCCACAGCCAGAGCACTCATGCTTAAACCGACACACGGTGCCCCACTTGCACTGGCCCTCATTGAAGAGCCAACAAATACCTTGCTTGAATGCGGCCAACGAAGAGGACTAACTTCCTGAAAGGGTGTCGACTTCTGTGCCATCATAAGCTTCATCCATCTGGTCCCACCACATCCCTCGATTCGTCGCAAGTTGCTTGCCATATTTCCGCCACACCAGACCACTGTACATTCTGTAAGCCTCCCACTCCCCATCCAGATAGCAGAACAAAGATGAACACCGACCCAGCGATTTCTCCCCAATAAAACTGGCTAAGATGGAGAAAGCATGCAGCCAGTTCCCAAAGGACTTAGATATCTTCTGATACCGCTTATGTTTTTCCTCCTCCTCCTTCTTCTTGGCTTCCTTCTCGTCCTCCTCCTTGAGGTCTAAATAGTCCTCCAGCGGCAAAAGCAAATTTTTTTTTTTTGCAAAACTCACCTTTCCATATTTTCTCTTTCACCTAAAATGCACCCCTAAGGGGCCTGCGAAGAACATGTACGCGCTGCGTCAGGAATACCCCCGGACAGTTTTGCTCTCTCTGTACCCAACACCGACGTCACCGCAGTTGCCTCCGATGCCACCCTGGCCCCTGCTGCCGCTCCAGCACCCGACTCTGAACACCTGTTGGAGCTCTCCCCACCTGACACACCCGTTTGGCTTTAGGTATCAAAATTATATATTGCAGTCCCTTGGGACATGCCCAAAAAGATTCTATTGCGATCCACTGCAGAGGGATTGTAATAGCATGTGCCGTGATTATAGTGGATAGTAGCGCTGCTTGATATTATAGTTTGCCGTTTGGAAGAATTTGGAGACTTTTTTTGCCAACTCTTATCTTGCGGTTGTTCCATAGCGTTTTTTGGAGTTTCTGTAGATAGAGCTTGGGCAAGCGTATCTGCAACATCGGAGCAAGTATTGGAATTTGGGGATTAAGGTCATCTTTACAACTGCCATCCTACCCACCCATGTTAAAAATTTGTTTTCCTATATTTTTTGTGTTTCAATCATGTTTAGTAGCAGAATGTTAGTTATGGCAATAAGGAAATTTCATTTTCTGGCTAGAGGTGGATTTGTCGGAGTCTGTACAGATGAATTCTGTATCATATTACTGGATGAATTCAAATCATAATATTCAGGGATATAATTTTTAACTTGTGGATTAAAAGCTTCTTGATCTTAGTTGAGATCTGACTGCCATTATGTGGTCGAGAAGGAATTTTTTCCTAGTTTGCTGCAAAATCAGAAAGCGCTTCAAACTGAGTTGTTTTTTAATCCTTTTTGGATCAACACTCGCCGTCCACGGCGAACCGTTCGGGACATCACTAATCAACAGCAAAATCATATGTGAGAAAGTCTGAACTTGATGAATGCATGTCTCTTTTCAGCCTACATAACTATGTGAGGATCTGCTCCCTGCTGGGAGTAGTTCCCCATTTTATAGTGTGTGTGATATTCTCTCTCCTTTGGAAACATACATTCAATGATTATAGCAGTTCATCCAAATCAGCCTAGACTTGATGAAGCATGAAAATAAAAGACACTTTATTTGGTTTAAATGTACATATTATCCACAGACAGGATGCAAACAGGGCCGGACTGGGAGAAAAATTCGGCCCGGGCATTTTTTTAACACAGCGGCCCACTAAAAAGGGGGCGGGTCAGAGGAGGTGTGTTTTGTCATCACCAATGACAAACACGCCTCCTCTCAAAGTGAGCATGTTGGTTCAATGCTCTTCCAGGGCAGACCATGCGCAGAGCTCTACTGAAGAGCTCTAGCATGAGAAAAAAGTCCTATATTTGTTCTGCACAGTGCAAGCAAATTTAATAACATGCTTGCACTGTGTTTCCTTGCAACTTGTCTCTGGTGTCTATAAATGGATACCAGGAGATAAAAGGCCAGGAAAGAGTATTGTGCATGTGTTTGGAGCCTGCTTGTGGTATTGCGTGTGTGTAGAGTGAGCTGGTCGTGGTGTGGTATTGTGTAATAAGGTCAGTTTTAGTCGTGTTGTGTTTGTGGTGTAATGTGATGCATATGTGGCTATGGGCTGTAGAGAATGTGTGTATTGGGGATATAGCAAGTGTGTGCATACAGGCTATAGTGTGTGTGTGTTTAGGGGTGTAGTATGTGTTTGCTTACAAGGAATCTAGTGTGTGTATAGGGGATCCAGAGTGTGTATGTTAAAGGACCACTATAGTGCCAGGAAAACATACTCGTTTTCCTGGCACTATAGTGCCCTGAGGGTGCCCCCACCCTCAGGGACCCCCTCCCGCCCGGCTCTGGAAAGGGGAAAGGGGTTAAACTTATCTTTTTTCCAGCGCCGGGCGGGGAGCTCTCCTCCTCCGATCCGCCCCGTCGGCTGAATGCGCACGCGCGGCAAGAGCTGCGCGCGCATTCAGCCGTTCACATAGGAAAGCATTTATAATGCTTTCTTATGGACGCTTGCGTGCTCTCACTG